AGAAGGAGGAACAAAGGAAGGAAGGAACAAATGAAGGAAGGAAGGAAAGAAAGAAGGACGGAAGAGAGAGGAAGAAAAGAAGGAAGGAAGGAAAGAAAGAAAGAAAGAAGGAAGGAACTGTCCAGTTGTCCCGTGAAGATATATTTGTTTGCAGATATATTCATTTGCCGTTGACTGAGTGGAAATAAATTTTCATGACTCGGTTAAAAGTGCCATCATTGAGCCATGTGGCTCATATTAAAGTTAAAAAGAGTTTTAGAGAAATCTTCCTACACCAAGGTGAATGTTTTGATCATTTAAACAATGCAGTTTTGGTTTTCATGAAAAAAATCATAAACATTTTATTTATCCTGGTTGTAAATGTGCTAATAAAACAAACAGAGAAACTGCACACACTCATAATAAATAAATTGCATTTACACTGTTTGGCTTTTTGTGTGCTTGCAGACTTTAATGTGACAGGAAACAGGCTTTAAGGGGCAAATGTTAGTGTTCAAATCTGACTCACAAGCACAAAACTGTGCTTCTGGAAGTCATAAATGAGTTTTTGTTTCCTGAGAAACTAGTGTATTTATTTAAAATGCAAAAAAAAAATTTGCTATACAATGCTGTATTGCTGTATAATAGTTTGTCAACAGACATATAATGTGTGTTAGTTTTATATTTCCATACAGTTTAAACACTAATGAAAATCGTAAAAAATAAGATTTAATGCATCCACATGAAATGTAAAACTGTTCCAAATGAGCATTTCTCTGTTGGATCGGAATCAGTGCACTAACATTTATTAGAGATGCTCGAAAAGAAAAGTGTTTTTATCCCATGAGATGGTTTATTGACTGAAAAGAGAAAAAAATAAACCATGAAGGCAAGATCAGATCAATATTGGCAATATTAAAATATCCGTTGCAGCATTTGAATTCTAATAATGATTTCTTGTCTCTGCAGATCCTCTCCTTGGAGAAGCAGACATCGTCAGACCTGCCGTCGTCCGTCCAGGTCAGGAAGTCCAGCGTCCCACACCCGGCCTCTGTTCCCTCCCTAAGTTTGTCTCCGTCAGAGTCCCCTCCGCCCTCTGCCACGCCGCCGCAGCCCGTCCACGCCTCCACGCTCACCCTCCACGACCCGGACGGAGAGCCGTACTCGGCCAGCCCTCGCCGCAGCACGTCCAACCTGAGCACCTGCATGTCGAGCTCCCAGAAACACCTTCCTCACAGAGACTCCACCCCCAGCCTGGCCTCGGACATCTCTCTGCCCACCGCCACCTTGGAGCTCCAGCAGAGACTCCATCAGCTGCAGAAGTAAAGACGGACATCTTTTATTTCAGTTCTGCAGCTGCTTTTACCTTGCTTTTTCTTACATGTGGTGTGATTAACGCTTACTGTTTTGAAGTGATGCTGACTGACTTTGGTGTGATTTCAGTGGCTCCGCCCCCAACCAGTACTCCCTGGGTGAGATCCAGTTGACGGTTCGCCACAGCTGTCAGAGGAACAAACTGGTTGTCGTGGTGCACGCCTGCCGGTGAGCTTCAAACTGCAACACTATATTGAATTTTAAAGGGATAGTTCAGATATTTTGACCTTTGCAAAGTTTATGAAGAGTAAATATCTTACCTGTTGTATATAGCTCTTTGATTGACTGCAGTTTGGCAAAATAAAGTAAAATTCTGACCAGATTGACAAACTAACCGCTAATTCAAAAAAGCCAAAACCATAGTGGATTGATGCATTTTTAAATTAACTTGAGTCTTAATAATTTCACAGCAGTTTCTGCAACCTTTGATGTTCATTTTGCTCCCAACTTAGTTATGTTGCAACATCCAGGACAAACAGGCATCAGTAACATGAGCAACATGCATCTATTTATTTTTTTTTCTCCTCTGTGTCTTCAGCAACCTGATAGCCTTCACCAAAGATGGTTCAGATCCTTTCATACGCCTTTATTTGCTGCCTGACAAGAGCCGGACGGGGAGGAGGAGGACAAATACGCTGAAGAAGACTCTGAATCCCATTTATGATCAAACGTAGGTCAAGGACTCTAATACCAATTTATAAGTCTATAGAACTTATCAGTGTTTGTTGGGCCTAACGTCTCTGATTTTCTGACAAACGTTTCAACCTAAATGTATCCATTTTTGTCTATATTATGATATCTTTAGGTATTATCTGTTTTAAATGATCTTTAATAGGGATGCATGATATTATCGGCATGGTATCGGTATCGGCCAATATTATCGATAAAGTTAGATATCGGACATCGGACATTCTATCAAAATAACTCACTGATATAAAAGGCACTGTTCTTGTATAACCCAGTGACAAGGATGCCTGCAGCGCCAGCACAACATTATGACATCATGTGTGCCATTGAGTTTAGAACTGTGAAAATTTACAAATTTGCACTGTTCGAGTGTCGTCATTGTGTTAGAGAGAGTAAATGTCATGAATAAATTTGACATTAATCCAAGTTGAAGTGTTACATCATTTTCAGCCCCCTTTTTGACATCTGCATTTGGTAGCAGGTCAAATTGACAAAGACCATGCAGAATAATGTAGTAGTTTAATTCCACAGCAGTGAAAGCTATGTAGTCTCTGTAAGTAGGTCTGGGGGGGGGGGGGGGGGGGATATCGGTATTGGTATCGGTAATCGGCAAATAAGTTTTAACATATCAGCATATCGGATATTGGCCAAAAATCCAATATCATGCATCTCTAATCTTTAAAGCTCTTTTAAGGGGATTCTTCATCCTGAGTGATCTTTAAAAGTTTCTTCTGCTTCTTCAGACAATAAAAGTCCAAACATTAACAAGAGTGCAGCAGTTCAACAAGTTTGTTTTACAACATAAGAGCCATTAAAGCTATTTTACTTTTTGAGGAAAGAACATTCTGAATGAATCCCTTCAGGGCTGAGTTTGTTTGTAGTTGAGTTTGAGAGTTATAGGAATAAGATCAGATAAAACGGATGTGTGTGTTTGTAGGTTTGAGTTTAGTGTATCTATGGTGGAGCTCCACAGACGAACTCTGGATGTGGCTGTGAAGAACGGAAGGAGCATCCTGTCAAAACACAAAGGACTTCTGGGAAAGGTAGCACCTATTTGTTTTTCATTTCGTCCTTGTATTACATTAATTATTTTATTATATATTATTATTATAATTAATAATATTATAATTAATAATATTATAATTATAATATTATATATTATTATTAGAGCGTATTCTTTTTATTTGAAACACAGCGACAAGCACAAACTAAAATCCCATTATTTAAGACACATTTATTCTAAATTCATTATTTCGGACAAAACATATTTTGTAGCACCATTATTGTTTAAATTGTCATTAGGCCTGTCACAATAAATAATAAATCAATTAATCGCATGATAAATGAAAATTATCTACCTCATTTTCATTTATCGTTTCTTCGTGTCTCTCTCTTTCTACTGAAGACACTGGATGACAAAAAGCTCAACTCCAGTGCTCTTCACTGGCGCCTCCCTTTCTCTTTTCTCTTTAAAATACATTTTAACTGTCCAAAATCGCGTTTTTTTAGATCGCTAAAAGCAAATAAGCTGAGAAGCTAAGCTACGAGCTAAGCTAACGGACCTACCTCGGGAACAAAACCTCCGTCTTGTTGAAGCTCTAAAATTCACGGTTGAAACCGTGCTTTTGTGTAAAAAGTTGCTTTTCTCTGCAAAAAGAAGCTGAGAACTTGTTTACTGATATTTTATTAAAAGCATTGTGCGAAAAATGCTATGCTAAATGCTCAAACCACACCGAGCGTCCGTCATTTTGAGAACAAAAGAAAAGGAAGGAGAGACAGCCCATGTCAAGTCAAGGTGCCTCCCTCCCATTTTTCTTAAAGACAACGCTGCTCCTGCACTCGCCATCCTTCAATTCAAACTGTCTTATACTGCCATCCAGTGGTCAAAAAAAGGCACTACACTCAAAACAAATCCAGCAAAATTTCTTCTTAAATTTGACAATAATTAGTAATTATTGTCAAATTTCAAACAATATTATCGTTTGTCGCAATAATTTCTGAAACAATCAATCGCCCAGTAAAATTTGTTACTGTGACAAGCCATATTGTCATAAAAACTTTTGTTGATAAATGTCTTCCTTGTTTTTGCCATAACCTTGTAGGTGTTGGTAGATTTAAGTGGGGATGATGTATCAAAAGGATTAACACAATGGTAAATATGCATTGTCTTCCACCAATATTTGCTCACTTATTGTGACTAAACTGATTGTTTTTTTCCCCAGATATAATATTTTTCTTTTGTATTCCAGGTATGACTTAAGTGAGGATGGTTTATCATCTCAAAGCTTTAGAAGAAGTCAAGAATCCCTCATCACATAGAGGACCCTCCTTTCTACTCTAAAAAGTTGTCTTGTTTTTTTAAAGGCACGTTAAGCTTTTCTTTAAATAATTTAAATAATTTCATGGAATAAAAACAGCATGTAAAAAGTATTTAATTTCATTTACTTGTTATGGATTTATTTTGAATGGAGGAAACAGTTTTTATAACATGTTGAAACAAACTTATTGCCTTGTCTTTGTTTTCAGTGGTTACTGTAAATATCACAATGTTAACTTATATACACACAGACACACAATTTGAGTAAATGCAGGGGTTTTTGTGGCATAATGGTTCCCTAAGGGAATTTTAATTGAAATCTGTCCACATTATATCAATATTCTTTTTTGTTGTTTATGAACACTAACCAAAGGAACAGATACAATTGGAAATAGCAATTTTTGGTTTTGTTCTTAATTGTGTTTATGTTCTGCAGTGTTATTTGATAGTTCATCTCTTTATGGCCGTTATGCCTGTATAAAAACAAGGAATGCATGTATGCAACTTATAAAATGTCCTCACTCTAAGGGATTTGTACAATATTTGTGGTACTATTTGTCTCAGACACTTCAAGTGGGAATTTTAGGGCTATGAACAAGTGCTGTACAGTGTACACAACAAGAATTGTGATCATGGATACTTGAAAAAAAGTTTGAATGCACTCAATCCAAATGTGAGTCGTACAAACAGAAGACGTTTAAACAAAGACAATATAAGGATTGCATTTTATTATCGGTTTGCAAAATATGTTAAGATGCATCTCTGTCTATATGCTTGTATATGTTTTGCGATGCAGTGCAATAGTTGTTTTGAACAATGCATATCTGTGCCTTAAAAACCTGAGATGTGATTTTTTTTTTCTTTTTAAAATGTTATCATGTCAAAAAAACCTGATGCATCGTGACTTTTTATGAATAAATCATTGTTATTTATTTATTTATTTATGTATTTATTTATGTATTTATAAAATTAAACTTTATTTTAGAAAATTAAATAGGTTCTTTAGAACTATGAATAGAAGAACAGGTTGTAACAGAAAAGGATCTAATATGTGGGAGTTTGTCGCCATCCAGCGGTTATAAATAGTATAACCACGACAAGAATGATCAAATGGACGTCCGACGTAACGTCATGACGTACAATCCTGATGCATTCCCATTACGTCATGACGTAACATTATCCAAATTTGCGCGGGTTTATTGTTGTAACGGGTTGTTCATCTTCCTGTTCCCAATCTCCGACAAAGCTCAGGAAGAAGGTAACTTTAAATAAAATTAAAGTTCTGCGATATTTTAACTACTTTAAGTCCTTCCATAACCCCGTGCTGCGAGCAAAGCGGGACTTACGTTCCCTTTTTACGCTAACGTCCGACGAGCAGCCATGTTTGTTTTGGTCTCGTTTTGGTAATATTATTGCTTAGTTAGTGTAAATAACCTCTAAACTACTGAATGTTGCATCGCAGGTTTACTATAAATCTTCGGGTGACTTCCATCGCTCAAGGACCAGAAAATATGTCTAAACGAGAGACATTTTTAGAAGCTGTCTGTAAGGAAAATGTGGAGAAGTTTCTTGGCTTTATTCAGCTTCATGTAAGTAACAAACCACTACTAACTAAAGTATCTAAATGTTTAAAGTATATTTGAAAACACCTTGTAATACAAGTAAAATACATTTTCAATTTTAAAACTAATGAGTCGGTCAGTGTTTCAGCTATTTCACAAGTAAAATATATCCCATAATAGTTAAAATGGAAAAGAATAATGGAGGAAAAAGTAAAAAATAAGGTCCCAGACATGGGAAATAAACAATGTCTTTAACAACTGAATTACTTCTGCATTTGCCATGCAATTTACTACTGGTTAGTTATATAAAAACTACAAATTAAAACAGTTTTGGAAAGCGTTGGAATTTTTAATTGATTAATTTTAAGTTAGATGTATGTACGTAGTGCAAAATAATCCCAGGCTATTTATGGTAAAATGAAGACAAGACTTTTCAACAACATACACAAGATTTAGTGTTCAGAGACTGACTGCAAGGAGGAAAACCTTCCTGTTCTTTGGACTAAAAGAAAAGTTAATACCATGCAAATAAATGCAACGGAGCATAACATTACATTCCCAGCTGCTTGCTGCAACTTCATTAAGGAATGGATCAGGTTTATAAAACTAAAAGGATAGTTTCACAAACAATCTAGAGAACTGAAGGCCTTGTTGACAATTTGCCCCCCAAAAACCTCCATCCGGAAAGTAATATACCGTAATGCATGGGGTCTTTTGTACAATGTTTTTTGACATTTATTCTTTGGAGCCAATGAAGATCAACCTTTATGTGAATATCCTGCTGCATGTTTTTTTAGAGTCCACATATACCAGCAAAAGTGACACAGGAGATTGGTCAAAAAGAGGATCATTCATCATTCATTCAACCTTTATTTGGACAGGTTAATCCCGTTGAGCCTCGTAGCGAACTAAAACACCAGTAGACCCCCTGATTGAAACAAGAGGGGACCTTATAAAGTGGCTGATCAGACCATTCAGATACGCTAGGGCAGGAAGCAAATTAAACAGACTAAACTACCAGTAGTGTCATCAACAAAACAAACTGATCAAAGTGGTGCTAAACAGCAACCTAAAAAACGTACATTTACAACAACAAATCCTATCTAGACAAAAATGTAAACCAATATTCCTCTATCAAAGATGTGCACATCTTCATCCCTGACAGTGACCTGGCCTGCAGATGAGTGTGGACCACAGAGTCCTGGCCTGATGTTGCTCTTCTGTGCTGGGCCATCCTTTTGACCAGTGGCTGTTTAGTTTCCTGCATGTTAGGGCTGGGCGTTATGGACTAGAATTAATATCTTGATATTTTAATGGCGATATATGATATATATCTCGAGATTTGTTCTTTCCATAAAATAATAACAAATATATATTTCAGAGTTGAAAAGCTTAGTCTTAAATTCTACTTGTCACACAGGCACCTTTCTTAACAAACAGCGTGTATACTGTACAAAATAAATGTCTCAAAGATAAAATGTTTTTTTTCCTGCATAACAAAACCAAAAACACAGCTGTGCACTTTAAATTTAAACAGAAAACATACAGAGCAAATGAAAATGAGAGCAAATGAACGACTGACTTGCTCTTTAAAAAGTCTGATTCTAATGAAGTATATTTATTCAACCTTTAATAACCTTTGTTAACGAAGCTTTTAGAAAGCCCACATTGTTGTGTAGTAGGCTTCTTTACTGAGCTCGGTTCTGTTTGGTTATGGCTTGTTTCTTTCTGAATTTAATAGTTCCTATGCTCTTGAATGCACCGTGGCTCTTCCAACACTAGTGAACGCACTGCTCTTGTAAAGTGCAGAGCTCAGTTGGAGGGTTTATTTCTCTCTCTCTTGACATGGACGGAGCCTTGTTGTTCAAGCTTGTTTGTGCTTTACTGGTTTGCTGCTGTGTCTAAATACCAGAAGAAACACAGCAAATAAATCACCCTAAACTGGATATTTGTCTCCCATGTTTTTTTTTAACGAGAAGACAACTCAATACCTTGCTACTCAAAAGCAGTTAATTTCCTGGAGAACACCAAACCTCAGCTTTGTAGCAGCTACCCAGTCATTTTAACACCTATCAGGAATTTACGGTGCTCTCCCACTGAGTCAACAACGATATCTATGTATCTAAGCTCAGCTTTGTAGTTCAAATACTTCAGTCTTCAGCTGCTGCAAGCGGCGAGGGAGGGTCAGGTTTGTACTCGGTGAGGGAAAGAAGGAGGGGTGGCATGAAGGTGTACACTGGGAGGAAAAACTGGCAGATATATAACTCTAGGTAGAGCATAAGACTATATTGTTTTATATCAATATAGTCTTATTTTATATTGTGAATTAAATTATATTTTAAAATATCGATAAATTGCCCAGCCCTACTGCATGTATACCATAATTGAATTAAATTCTGTTTATTTATATATCGCCAAGTCACAACAGAAGTTATCTCAGGGCACTGAACAAAAACATTCATAAAAGCCAATTAGTAATGTTATTTATCTAAGGAAGGAAGCCAGCAGATTGCGTTGAGTCATCATTTTGTCGCAGTCTCCCATCCTGAGCAATCACAGTGGCAACAGTGGAAAGGAAAAACTCCCTCCTAACAGGAAGAAACCTCCATCAGGACAAGGACATCTGATCATAGCCCTCCTGGCACTGAACAGCATATACAATATTAGATATAACATGGTATGTAGATATAACGGAGTAGTATTGTGTATGCTGTTCAGTGCCAGGAGGGCTGTGATCAGTCTTGCATCGGGGAAACCAAACAGCCGCTGGCCAAAAGGATGGACCAGCACAGAAGAGCAACATCATCAGTGAGATATGGCATAAAATTCATATTATTATATACATATAGTTAGCTTGTAGCTTTGCTACTTAGCTCTCAAAGAAAGGACTTTAACACCACTTACGCACAGTTTTCAACAAAAAAAAAGTAACGATTAAATCTGACAACTCTGATTTTCCATTACTGCGGTTAGCCGGTAGAATACAGATCTCTATCATAAGCTAAATGTCTATTGTTTCTACCGTGTACCATATATATCACGCATTCCTAGTCTGCACTCATTGTCAGGGATGAAGATGTTCACATCCTTGATAGAGAGGAACGATGGTTTGAGAGAGGAGTAAAGGGGGCCATCTTTGTAAAGCAAAAGCATCCATCATTAAAAAGGGGCGGAGGCCTCTGTGTACATTTTTTTTAAATTGATTTAAACCTTTATTTTACCATAAAATAAATCGGTGAGTGGTGGCGCAGAGGTTAGAAGATGGGCTTGTGATCGGAAAGTCGCAGGTTCAACTCCCGGTACCGTCAACATCAAAATGTGGGTGGAGAAGGTGGAACACCCACACCTCCCTCCACTCTGGGCCCCCGAGCAAGGCACTTAACCCCCACCATCTGCTTCCTAAACAGGTCTCTCTTGAAAATGAGTTCTCGTGGCTCAATGAGACTACCTGGATAAATAAAGGGTAAATGAAAAAAAAAATTCTCTTACAAGGATGTCATGGGTGCAGGCAAGATGCAAACTGGTTGATCCACTATATGAAGGTGCTATTTATATTATTATATATTATGTTATAAGACTGAGTTTGTTGCAGCTCCTCAGAATGAAGAGGTCTTTTCAATAAAAGACAAAACGTTTCAAGAAGAAGAATCCGTCCAGAGGACCTGACTGCACCTTGTTAGACGTTATAATTGAAATAATGTTTTGTTGTTGTTGTTGTTTTTACATTTCTGACAGCTTTGTCACTGCAGTATTTTGTTTCTGGAAAGGTATTTCTGAGAATTAAAACATTTTGTTGGAGCATTCCACCAAAGAAATAACACAAACCTTGGGTTTAGTTGTTCAGCATTTTTTTCTCCTTTTGACTCCGTCTACAAGCTTTTTAAAAGAATGCGTTCAGTATGACCTTGTTGAAACCTCACCGAGGTACTTGAACAGTAAGAGGCCAAGACAAGCCGTTCTGAGTGAGCGTCTTGTGAAACAGAAGAGCTGCCGTTTTTGTAAATGTGTTTGTGGAAAATGTGCAGTCGTGACTTAGAAACTTCTTTTTGTGCTGCTGAGCAGAAGAAAAAAACCGAGCCTTTTGATGTGGAGGAGGTGGTGCAGGAGATGTCCAGAGAGCAGAGGGAGTCTCTCTGGAGGAGGCTGTTGTCCCTCCTTCAGGTAGTCCTGCAGGAGTTGCCTCCTGAGCGCTGGGAGGAGGAGGTGCAGCCAGAATCAGCTGCAGACCCCGTGAGTCACTTCAAGTGTCTTTGCTGTATTTTATTCACGAATCACAAAGTCCTGCCTGTCATGTTGGCATTATCAACAACAAAACTTTTCTCTATACGAGCTAAAATAAACCCATCTTTTTCTTTTCTCAAGGCGGTCTACTTTTATTCAGTGTATTTGTTTGTTGCTGTTGTATAAATTGTGTTGCTGCTGCACATGTAAAGTTGTCACTAGGATCATATTATAACGTACAATGACAACCAATCAAGTTTATTCTAATATGATCTTTCAGAAACGTGTCATGGCTGTAGTGGACGGTGTGGCATTCGTGGCCACTGTCTCTCTGAAAGTTTTACAAGATGGTGACACCTACAGTCCACTTCTGGAAATTGCCCATCTGCTTCACAGTGAGTGTTTTTTTCTTCAAATGTATTTTTAATTTAAGAGAGTAGGCAGTTCAAATGTATTAGATTAAATGTTAACCTTCAGGTTCACTTATTACGTCTAAACTCACAACTCGAGTATACTTTTTTTTTGCTTCTGCACTGAATGGTGGAGTTAAAACGAGTTGTTTAAAGGTATCTTTCTGATTGTTCTGTTTGTTTTTGTTTTTTTCCTCAGACGTTCTGGAGTCACTTGTTGTGTCGGAGGCTCCTCTGCAGCTCCACATACAGGTTCTGTTTGAGGCCTGGTGGAAGAAGGGGCTGCAGGAGAAGGAAAAGTTTGGTCACGCTGCTTTCCTCATCTCCCTGCAGAAGAGCTTCATTTTAAAGAAACCAGTCAGTATCCTGTATCCTCCTAGTTAGAAGAGAATGATGATGACAGCTAATAAGCTGCCGGATTCTGTTTAAAGCTAATAACCTTTAAAGAAAATGATAATTTAGGAGCTGGTAGGGTTTATCAAAATTGCTTTCAATGTTTTTTTAGGGTACTCAGATTCAGAGAGTGTGGAGTCTCCATGATGTGCTTCTGAGCCTGGACTACACATCGGAAGACAAGCAGATAAAGGACTTGTTGCTTCAGTGTTTCCACCATCCCACTTTCATTAGAAACGATGACGTGAGTCGAGTCGGTTACAGTTACGGTTGTGGGTTTGTCCTTGAGCTGTCAGCCTCATGATGTGATTATCATCACAGGGGAAGCGATTCCTGGTGTTCCTTTTCAGCTGGAATGTTGATTTCATCAGGCTTATTCATGGCACCATCAAAAACCAGCTGGAGTTTTACAACAAGTATGAAAGATACTTTAATGTCAATCACACAATTCGGTTTTTGGTAGATGTTAATTAAACCCCCCTGTTTTTTTGTTTGTTTGTTTTTTCTTGTTTCAGGGTCGTAGCTACTCATATAACTGAGATCTACTTTAGAGCGTGGAAGAAAGCTACAGGAGAGTTCCTGGAGAAGATTGAGAGCGTCTGCATTCAGGATTTTATGCAGAATGCAATTTATCTCCACAGCGCGTCGCCGGTTTACGCCAAAGTTCGAGAAGTAGGTTGTTGAGTCCTAAATTATATTTTTCCCAAGTTTTAATCTTCATTTGCTGACGGTGTTGATTTTCCTGGTGTGCTTGCTTTCATGTAGATTGTGAGGCATTTTCACTCAAGGAAGAGCAGTCCCAGCGTGGACAAGATGCTTTATAATCTCTACAAGCCGATACTCTGGAAAGCTCTCAGCGTATGCAGACATAAGTTGCTGTGTTCATGCTCGTGTTGCCATGTGTTGTACTCGGATGGCATGCTGTTTGCTTTTGTTTCAGGTTCCTAACTTTGAGGTGCGTGCGCATGCCACTTTGCTGTTCACTGAGGCCTTCCCTGTCCACGACCCGAGTCAAAACAATGAGAATATAGACATGAATATTCAAAAGCAGCTGGACATGGCAATGGTAGGAATCCATTTAGGGGTAATTAGCCTCACTTTTGTCATGAAGAAACATGAAATTAACTGTTTGGAACAATAATTATGATTTTCTCAGGCCCTCCTTAATGACCCTCACCCCGCCGTGCGCTCCAATGCCATCCTGGGGGTCTGTAAGATCCTGGCTAAGTGCTGGGAGCTCCTTCCTCCAACAGTCATCACAGATTTCCTGAAAAAGCTGGTGATGGATCTCGCCACTGACTGCAGCTCTCCTGACGTCCGCTGCTCAGTCTTCAAGGTAGCAAACGTCTCCCTGCTTGTCTTGGAAATGAAATGATGGTTCCCCACCTCTGCTGAGAAAAACTATTTGTTTTTCTTCATATATGGGAAATCTCAAATATGAGAACTGTAGTGGGTTTTTTGTATTTCAAGCTACATTTATGTAGTAAATGTGAGATTTTTACGGTCTTTAGGAGTTCAAAAGCTCAACTTGGGGGAAAAAAGTATAAAACATATAAATTACCTGTGGAAAGAGTTTTACACCTAAAATGGTGTTTTATTTAATTATTGCTTTTTAAGTTGTATAAACCTTTTTAATATCACATAGCTATTAACTTAATAAACACTTATATATCTTAAGCATACCAGTTATACGGATTCAAAAATTACCTTTGTGATAAATAGCAAAGAATAGTAACACAGTTCTGTTCACAGATTATGAAACACATGTTTACAAAGCATTAGTAAAATGTTTTAAATAATATTTTCATTAGGGATGCACGATATTATTGGCATGGTATTATCAGCCAAAATTAGCAAAAAAGTTAAATATCGGCCATTCTGTCAAAATCGGACAATGCCGACAATAATTTTCACGCTCATTAATATTGTTAGGTTCCCAATGAGCCTGAAGGACTCATTTATAAGAGACCTGTTTCAATTTAAAACTGTCTTATTCAAATAAGGTAATAATGTCTAGTTACAGAAAACAAAGTGAAGTTTTTGAGCTGCATGCATTCAGCTGGGACTGCTGCAATATAAAAAAATAAAGATCAATTCATTGTGAAATAATTATTAGATTCTTGTAAATGTATGTTACTTTGCTCATCAAATGCCTTGATGCCTTGTTATTCACACAGGGCTGATTGATGAAATAACAGTAGGTGTGGTAGCTGAATATGGAGACACCACCCCTGTTTAAACATGGACTGATTCTCTTCACAAAGATTGATTAATATGTTTGTAAAAATCAATATTATCACTCAGCCCCCAGTGAATAGCAAGCCAAGCTCTTATGGTCAATTGTTAGGCAGATGGTCCTGTTTTTACATGTGAATACTGGTTCTGGCTAGCAGAAACTGGCTGATGAGTGCTATTTGACTTTAGCACCTCCTCAGACTGAAGAAGTATTTTGAATAAAAGACAAAACATTTCAACAAAGAATAATCTGTTCAAGACCTGACTTGATTTATTTACCTGGATTATTGAGCAGCATCAGGAGATAAACTGTTCATGACGTTCATGATTTAACAAAGGTTTACTCTTGTAACTTTTCAGAAAAAAAAAACATGTATATTTTGAATTTGTTGTTAATCTGTTATTATTTTAGTTTTGGGTTTCAAGGATTTTAAAAAAAATTTCCTCTCTAAACTAAAAATATTTTGCCCTGTCGAATAGCTTCGGTTTCATATTTGATATGTTCATGTTATTAGAAATACTTCAATTGTTAGGAGAACACTGCTGTTAAAAAGTGCCTTTTTAATGTATTGAACTTTGTTTATGTAAAACAGTACCTTAAAAGTGTTCTAAACATCTTTAAGTCATAATTTAATTTTGCACATACTAATGAGATTAATCATGATTAATCGCAAAAATATTTGAGATG